ACTAAGATTGAAATTCTATTGTTTCTGAACCTGGAATTTTTTGTTTGTCTGCTTGTTTATGTTTGTTTGTTCATCTCTTCATATTGATTTCTGTGGGGTTTTGTTTTGTTTTTTGGTTAGTTTTACTGTTGTGAATTAGCAAATACTACATTACACCCAAACCAGGGACAGAAATAGCACACATACACACTTAGCTACAAACCCAATACAGCCACAAAAAATTAAACCAAGGGAAAGAAAACAGTGACTGAAACCACCAATTACCCTATCAAGAACATAGTTGCACAGTACCAAGTACAGCAACAGGAAGACGAAAGAAGAACGGAAAACCTTCTCCCCCCCAAAAAAATAATTTAATACAGGATTCAGAGTGAAATGAAGAAAACGGATACCCAGTTCCGGACTCCAACAAAACAAAGATAAATGACGCCAAGGAACCCAATGATGCCCACAAGAACATCCACAAAGAAGAAATCCTGCAAGTAATCACTGAGAATATCATGGAGATGTTACTAGACAAGGTTAACCAAAATGTACAAGAGGCACTTAAGAAATTTCAAGACACTAAAAATACAGAATACGAGAAGACACAGAAGCAAATAAATGAACTCATAGGAGCCCTAAATAAACACCAAAGTGAAACAGAGAATACTATAAATAGAGAGATAAATGAATTAAAGACAAAAATTAACAATATTAAAGAGAAAGTGACCCATGACATGGAAAATCTCAAAGAATGAAACACAAATACAAAACACAATGGAAGGCCACTCCAGCAGACTAGACAAGCAGAAGACAGAATATCAGAACTAGAAGATAGAACGTAAATTAAAGGAAAAACTGAAGAGCTATTTGTCAAACAACTCAAGACCTGCAAAAGGAATATGCAAGAACTCACCGACTCCATCAAAACACCAAACCTGAGAATCATGGGCAATAAAGAAGGAGAAGAGGTACAAGCAAAAGGGATTCATAATATATTCAACAAAACAATAATAGAAAATTTCCCAAACCTAGAGAAAGCTATGCCCATTCAGGTACAGGAAGCCTCCAAGACACCAAACAAACTTGACCAAAATAGAACTACCCCATGACATATTAAAACAACAAGCATAGAAAATAGAGAAAGAACATTGAAGGCTATAAGAGAGAAAAAACAAATAAAATACAAAGGCAAACCCATCAAAATCACAGCAGATATCTCAAAGGACACCTTAAAAGCAAGAGGGGCATGGAGTGAGGTATTCTGGGCACTGAATGAAAACAACTTCAACCTGAGGATACTCTACCCTGCAAAACTATCATTCAAAATAGATGGAGCAATAAGCCTTCCATGATAAACAGAAACTAAAACAATACATGACAACCAAGCTACCACTACAAAAGATACTTCAAGGAATTCTACACACAGAAAATGAAAGCAAACAAAACCATTAGAGGACAGGCAGCACCAAATCACAGGAGAAGAAAAGACAAGGAATCAGAGAGTAATATTAATTCAGCTGCATATAATAAAACCCTTAAACAACTAAATGACAGGAATCACCACAACCCTATCAATATTAACACTGAATGTTAACAGACTTAACTCCCCCATCAAAAGACACTGTCTAGCAAACTGGATTAAAAAGGAAGATCCAACAATCAGTTGTTTACAGGAGACCCATCTCATTGACAGAAACAAACAGCAGCTTAGAGTGAAAGGCTAGAAGATTTACCAAGCCAATGGCCCCTGAAAATAGGCAGGAGTAGCAAAACTTATCTTGGACAAAGTAGACTTCAAATGTATATTGATCAAATGAGATAAAGAAGGATACTCCATACTAATAAAAGGGGAAGTACACCAAAAGGAAATAACAATTATCAACCTCTATGCATCCAACGTCAGTGTACCCAACTTCATCAATCATACTCTGAAGGACCTAAAAGCATATATAGACTCCAACTCAGTGGCAGTGGGAGACTTTAATACCCTCCTATCACCAATAGATAGGTCATCCAAACAAAATACCAATAAAGAAATTCTAGAACTAAATCACACCATAGATCAAATGGACCTAGCTAATGTCTACAGAGTATATCATCCAACTTCCACACAATATACATTCTTCTCAGCAGCCCATGGAACTTTCTCCAAAATTAATCATGTCTTGGGGCAAAAAGCAAGCCTCAGAAATATAAGAAAATAGAAATAATCCCATGCATTCTATCTGATCACAATGCATTAAAACTAGAAATCAACAACAAAAACAACAGTAGAAAACACACAAACATTTGGAAGCTGAACAACACTTTGCTCAATGATCCGTGGATCATTGATGAAATAGAAGTGGAAATTAAAAGGTTCCTGAAAGTTAATGAAAATGAAAACATGACCTACCAGAACCTATGGGACACAGCAAAGGCAGTCTTAAGAGGAAAGTTTATAGCCATGAGTGCACATATTAAAAGGACAGAAAGATCTCAAATCAATGAACTAATGCTATATCTGGAACTCCTAGAAAAACAAGAACGAGCAAAACCCAAAACAAGCAGATTTCCTCTAAAATCAGGAACCAGACAAGGATGCCCACTATCTCCACTCCTATTCAACATAGTCCTGGAATTCCTAGCCAGAGCAATTAGGAAAGAAGAAGAAATAAAAAGAACACAAATAGGTAAAGAAACTGTCAAAATATCCCTATTTGCAGATGATACGATCCTATATCTTAAAGACCCAAAAAACTCTACCCAAAAACTCCTAGACACCATAAACAGCTACAGCAAGGTGGCAGGATACAAAATCAACTTACAAAAATCATTAGCTTTTCTATACACCAACAATGAACAAATTGAGAAAGAATATACAGAAACAATTCCATTTACAATAGCCTCAAAAAAATCAAATACTTAGGAGTAAACTTCACAAAGGATGTGAATGATCTCTACAAGGAGAACTACAAACCCCTGAAGAAAGAGATCGGGGAAGACTACAGAAGGTGGAAAGATCTCCCGTGCTCATGGATTGGTAGAACAACATAGTAAAAATGTCTATACTACCAAAAGCAATCTACATGTTTAATGCAATTCCCATAAAAATCCCAATGACAATCATCACAGAGATGGAAAAATCTACCCTAAAATTTATTTGGAAACACAAGAGACTGCAAATAGCCAAGGCAATACTCAGCAAAAAGAGCAATGCTGGAGGTATCACAATACTCGACTTCAAACTATATTACAAAGCAATAGCAATAAAAATACAATACACTTGTGCATGGAAGCAATGCTAGGAAACTCCTTGTATAGCTATCCTTATCTCAACTAGCAAAAATGCTTCGTCTTTCTTATTATTGCTTATGTCTTCTCTTCAACAAAACTAGAGAAAAGGGCAGAACAGGTTCTTCCTGGGAGTGGAGGGGGGGAGATGGAAGGGGGGAGAAATAACCCAAACAATGTATGCCCATATGAATATATGAATAAATAAAATAAAATAAATATATCTTAATAAAGGACTTGTCTCCAAAATTTATCAAAGAACCCTTAAAATTCAAAACCACAACCCAATTTAAAAATGAGCAAAAGATCTGACTAGATACTTCTCTAAATAAAATAAATAAATGAAAAAACAAACATAGGAGAAAATGCCCAGGACAATGTGTCATTAGGAAGTCACATTAAAACAATGAAGCACAACTGCACACTATTAGAAAGATCGATCCCAAAGAATGACCTGCCAAACACCAAACACCAGTGAGGACATGGCACCAAATAACTAATTCACTGCTGCTGGGAACACAAAACAATAGGGCCATGAGGTGATGCTCTGGCAGTGTCTTACGAAGCTAAACCCAGTAGTATCATGCCATTTAGCACCAGGCCATTCAATACCATGCCATCCAGCAATCAAACTTCTTGGCATTTACTGAAGCTGAAAATGCATGTCCATACAAAAACCTGCATGCTCAAGTTTGTGGCACCTTTATTCCTAACTTCCATAAACTAGAAGCAATAGAGATGTCTCTCAGTAGGTAAATGAATTAACAAATTGTGGCACATCCGCATGAGGGAATTTTACTGAATGATAAGAAATGGTTTCAACCCCCAGCACTGAGAGAAAAAGGAAAGAAAGAGGACGTGAAGCACAGGGATTTCTTAGGGCCAGGAAGTTATTCTGTGTGGTACTGTAATGGGAGATGCATGACACCATACATTTGGGAGAAGCCCTACAGCAGCACAACACAGAGTGAACCCCAGTATGAACCACTGACTATAGTTAAAAGTAATGAGTCACATGTTAGTAACAGGAAACCGACTGGGAGTATATGAGAACTCTGTACTACTATAGGCCCAATTTTTCTCCAAAGCAAAACCTGCAGGGCCAGCCCAGCTCTGCAGGTCTCTGAGGGAGAGGGAGACCAGGAGCATCACAGTGCGGGGCCAGCCCATGCAAAAACCAAAAAAAAAGAACTGCTAAACCCCATCTAAACAAAAGGGCCTGGTGGTACACACCTGTGATTCCAGCTGTACAAGAGGCCATAGGTAGAAGGATAAAGGCCCAAAAGGCCAGCTCTAGGCAAAAACTTAAGACCCTATCCAAAAAATAACTAAGGCAAGAAAGGACTGTGGGCATGACTCAGGCGACAGAACACCTGCCTAGCAAGCACAAGATCCTGAGTCCAAACGCCAGAAATCACAAAAAAGCTCTAAATATAAAACATACTATTTTTCATAATCATTAAAAAATCAATTTTATAATTTGTATTAAATATTTTGTATATATCCTACATATACAATCATTTTATAATTATTATACAAACGTGTATGTGTACCTATACAGAGGAAAAGAATGAAAGTTTGCTTTCATGCAGCAGAATTATGGGCCATTTTTATCTTTCCCATTGTGCTTTTCAGAGTTTTCAACAATGAACACAAATTACACTGAATGCTTTTGACAATGGAAAGAGAACTTTTAAAGTACTCAGAAAATTAAATTCTGACACTTGTAAGAGCATGCTTACCTCCCGGCATCACAGTCTGGGTCATCCGGGACCCGGCGTTTGGCGCAATGGTGTTACAGTGAATGTTGCTCTTCCTGCCCTCAATTGCAAGAGTGTTGGCCAGGCCCAGGATGCCCAGCTTGGCTGCACTGTAATTTGCCTGGCCAAAATTGCCATATATTCCTGAAGCTGATGAAGTCATGATGATCCTAAAAGAAAAAACAGCCTCTCAATATCATCCTTTCAGTGTTCTGAGGACATTGCAGCTCTAACCCTATTTCATACTGCTGCACTTGTGAAAAGCACGTTGTGAACTGTCATTAGCCTCTCACAGTCACGGCTCATATACCTGCAACAGGCTGACATCAAGGTCATCTCTCAAAATTCAACTACAAGATGTGACTGTTTAAAAAGAGTCCCTGGTCAGAGCCAAATGAATTTAAATATAATAACGTATATCCATTATCTATCAAAAATAAGTATTAATAAACAGAAACTAGCAACATATTAAGTTAAAATTTTAGCACAAAACACTAGATCAAGCAGTTCTAACTCCTCAGCCCTCATCATTCTGCCCTGGCCCTTTCTGAATAATACTAAATGTCTCATTAAAACACAGCCATCATATGGCTCATGACTACAATCCCAGCTACTTGGGAGGCTGAAATCAGGAGGAACTCCATTCAAGACCAGTCCAGAAAAATAGTGCACAAGCCCCCATCTCCAAAATAACCAGAGCAAAACAAACTGGAGGTGTGGCTCAAAGCAGTAAAGTACCTGCTTTGCAAGCACGAAGCCCTGAGTTCAAACCCCAGTCCCACAATAACAAAACAAACTGATGCCATCATATAATCCACCCAGCCTCACTCCATTTAAGCCAAGTAGAATCAACCACATCAAATGCTTTTCAGAAACCAGCATCCAGCATCAGGATAGACGCTGGAGTAGTGTGACTACAGCAAGCCTGACCAACACACAGGGACGACCCTAACATTAGAGTGAGTGGTGTGACTGCAGCAAGTGCACCAGCCCTGCCACATCCTGAGGTACACATGTAATCACAGCCCAGGGAAGTCCCTACTTACACCTCCTAAAAGGTACAAAGACTAACTTGTTGGGACTGTGGCCGTGCAGACTGTCAGCCGAGGCCTGTGCCTCGGGGCAGCACATAAGGTGGGGCTCAGGGAAGCTGGGGCAGGTGCTGAAAGTGTACTAGGGCTGGGCATTCCTAGGTTCCCCATGCAGTCCCCTGTGAGCCTGCAGTATTTTCCTTATATGATCAGCCCCCCTTGGGTGGCACTGCTCACCTGGAGCCTGACAGTATTATAACACGTGACAGTCAAAGTAAGGCCAGGGGCCCCGGGGTGGGGAAGTGAGGGGTGAGGGAGAGAGGCTGAGGCTGGGCTGGAGGGAGGAGTAGGGATGCCCCTGCCACCACAACTGTGAGCCCTACCAATGATGATATACGTGTGCTGAGTTCTGGGAACCAGGTGATGGAGTATGCTAATGAATGAGGCCAGAAAAAAAACAGTAATAATAAATAAAAGACTAGCTCGTGTCCGACCAGTATCTGTTAGCAGGAAATAGCCTCTCATCTCTGGCCAGCTGTTTAGTGGACACACAAAATGACACTTGGGTTAAAGAATAAGAGATAGTTGATCCTCAATGTTGTGCTACTTTCTAAACACCAAAGAGTAACAGGAAAGTCAATGATAATGAAAGCAGGCTACCTTGTTCCATGTCTATGTCTAGAAATGACACAAATTTAATGAGAGTATATGCCAAAATACATTTTAAAAGTCTACACATATCTGAAAATACTTCCCCACACAAAGCAAGCATTCACTTTGTGAAATCTTTGCACACAGAATGCAATGTATACAACGTTCAATCTTCCTTGAGAGTATAAGCAGCCCTACCTGCCATACTTCTGTTTCTTCATATGCTCCCATGCTGCCCGGGTCACCTGGAATGAGCCCCGCAAATGAACTCTTTGGATAATGTCTAAAACAAGAAATTTGGAGAAAAAAAAAAGGGGGGAGGGGAATTTGTTGAAAATTAGGCATGTCATAGAAAGCTTTCTGATACAAGAAGTTCACGTAATACCTAGCATTCAAAACCACCAATTGTCACACCCTCTGAACAATGCTTGCTTCTGTTACAATTATACTACCAATCAATAGTTCTTATCTATACTTAGTTTTTTTCCTATAGTTGATAAAATTATTACAATCCTTGCACATGCCTAAATGTAATACCATATTTAATTATGCCAACCTTGCACAAAAATCTGCTAACATCCAAGAACTTCATGTGTACATGCAGCATCAAACACTAACATTAAAGTACAATCATAAACCTCATGGCTCATCATAGAGAAATATTTAAAAATACTCACAATATCCCTATTTTCACCAATGCCTGCAAATGAGCTGGAGGGAGGAGAGACCTGTTTTCATAGATTTCAGACTAATGAATTGACCACTTAGGGAATGCTGTTCAGATAAATTACTCTAGACTTAGTGTTTTAACTGTCAAGTTTTCAGCCATTCTTTCTTATTTTTATTTCACTCTGGAGCTTCAACCAAGTTTTCATGTGTATATTAGAAGAAAGTAGGAGTGAAAAGAGGAATTAAAATCAAACAAAAGAGTAGAGAGGAGTGGTGGGCCCAGGACAGAGCCAGAGAAAGAAACTCCATCCCCCACATTTCCAGGAGTATTACCAACAGGAGTGAAGCAGCTCCTTGCCAGCAAGTCTTATCTTTATCAGCTTTTTGACCCCCAGGTGGTATAGAGGGAAGAGGAAAGGAAAAGCTCTTCTTTGCTTAATTCTGACCCAAGGATGTTATGTCTCCCAAGAAGACTTCTGGGAACAAAGCAGCAGCGCTCTCAGAACTGACACAATCATCTCACCCAGCTGCCACAATGGCCACTGTCTCAGCCACCACTGCTTCAGTTCTGATGCAAATGAAAGTAAGAACAAGGAAGAGCCAAAGAAAAATAAACCATGACTGTCATGCTCATTACTCTCCAACAGGGCAAAGGGAAATAGAAATCCTTCCTGTTCACTATTCACTATCAGACTCAGATGTCACCCAGGCTTTGTCCTGCCTGACTGAGATCTCCATGATCTACTTTCTAGTGCCCTACACTTTCTTCTTGAAAAAGACAGTCACTGGGCCCGCAGTGAGGCTTGCATGGTAGAACACCTGCCTAACAAGTGTGAGCCCAAACCCCAGCAGGTAGATAAACATGTTAAAGACTGCTAGAAAGAGCTAATTCTGTCAGAAAATGCTAACACCTAAAGAATAAGGGGAAACAAACTGAAACAAAATCCTTTTAGATAACTTCTGCCAGTTGATTTAACATGCTTTAATTTATCAAATATTTAAAAATAGGACACATCCAACTACATGTCATTTTCAGTATGGTGTATTCATCGATATTAACAGCAGTGAAAGTGGGTGGCAGCAGGATTCTCCTTCAGTGTATCACTGATTCAAATATCAGAAGAAAAAACAGACAGCTATGGTCCACAAACATATCAACAACTCACCCCAGTCTTCATCACTGATCCTAGAGAAGGAGCGGTCCCTCAGAATCCTAAAACATCAACATCATATAGGGTTAGAGCAAGGGGTACAAGCTTCCACAACTGCATGCACTGTACTACACACAGGAACAGAAATACTCACCCAGCATTGTTGACCACGACATCTACAACATAAAAAGATCAAGTCACAAAATACACAAAAGCAACCATGTGCATATGCATTTGCTTACAGCTCACATTTCTTTCAATATTGGCTTTATCTGTCCTGCCCCCACCCACCCCATCATCCATGGAAAAATAAATATATCATAAGGTAAAGAATGTTATCAACACAAAATTTTATGCCTATAGCAAAAAACAGGCCAACTGATTCACAAAAGCACAAGCTTCATATTATACCAGCACCTTCCTCTCAAAAATATCTTTTTATTTCCCTCCTCCATCTTCCACCAAGATTCAGAATTAGCTGTTGCCCAACTCTTAGGTTCTGAGGCTTCAAAGCCAGACTCCATCCTACACTTAACCTCATTCACTTAGAGTGTTAGAAGTTTGAAAGACCTTTCCTTCCAAGTCAAGAATGCAGAAAGAAAGTCATTCAGGTTAGAAACAAATATCCTGTTTTGATAATTGTATTCTTGCTATGCAAAGGACATCACTGTATTTTTAAGAGTCAATCCACATCCGGTGGCTGTTTTCAACCTAAGACTTGACGCCTTCATGGTCTTTATCACTGTCAGATGCTGTGTGAACATGTCACCTAACATAACCAGAAAAATGAATGTGCTAAATTGAACAAAAAGGGAAGGTACACCTTCAGTTTACAGGAAGTAACTTTTCCAGCCTGTAGATGTGTTGGGCTCATCTGCTGCCATGTTCTAATCTATAGTAATCCATTAGCCTTTCAGTAAGACTGTATGGGACTAAACCAGGAAGACTATCTAGAGATATATGGGTTAAACAATACATTAATACTTCTTTTACTGTATATAATTCATTTTAATTAATTTGCAACATATCCCATCATCTTAATCCAAATCTTGGTAGCTTTTCAAAAGAACCCCCTGGGTCCTCTATTGCCAAAACACTGATTTATCTCATAAACATATTAGAGACTTAACTGAATTATTGTGAAAAGAATACAGAACAGATATTTACAAATTTTTTAAGTAAAGTGCAAAAACAATTTTAAAAACCCAAGCCAAACACAAAATAAATAATTAACTTATAAAACCAATCCAGAAATTTGATTATCAAGAAAGAGAGATTTGTTTAATAAGCAACAGTAAATTCAAAAACATTTCATCGGGAAGGTAAAAGTACTCTGTTAGGACCATAACGCAAATGAAGCTCACCTATTCTTCCAAAAGCATCCAGGGCTGTCTTCACAACTTTCTCTCCCATTTCCACAGAGTCTGAGGGAGAGAGAAGTCAGTACACAACCTCAACACTCTCCCTCTTAACCTATTTCTAAGTTCTCAGCATCAGCACAGATGACTATACTATGCATTCAATACAGTTCATTTCCAAGAAAAATCCACATATACTGCAGTACAACGCAAATCCCAATGTCTGCAGCACTCTCCAGCACACCTAGAGTGAAGATGGAGACAGCCTACGTCTGCACTTTACAATATGGAAGCCAACAAACACTGGTGACAACAGAGTGTTGAAATGTGGCTAGAGTGACAGGCAAGTAATTAATTTTCATTAATCTATATTCAATTTTAAACAACTATAGGCACTCCCATTTAAGGACAAACTAGAATTTGGGAGAGAGAGAAGTACATGCTTCATCTGAAAAAACATTCAGTGTTCTATAACTGTACATGAAATACAAAATTACTGTTTTCACAATACTCACTACAAAAAGTAAAGCTCAACAAAACTGTGTGGCTTTGTGATATTCTGCTTCCCAACCCATCATATTGCCATAGCTGTGCGTCATCTCGACCTCATCACTCCCTCCTGTGTGTCCTCTTCATTCACATGGGTGACCCAGGAAATACTGTCAGATCCTTCCATGGGACCCACATAGTAAGAGATATAGGTTGAGGTTGAGCACAGTAGTGCATTCACTCCTGTAATCTCAGCACTCAGGAGGCAGAGGCAGGAGGACTGCCAGCTCAACACTGGCCTGGGCCACACAACCAGACTGTCTCAAAAAACAGGTTGAGTGTCCTCTATTTAAAGTGCTTGGGACTAAAAGTGTTCCCACTCTTTTTTTTTTTTTTTGGTACATACATAACGAAATGTCTTGGGGATGGGACACAACTCTTAAACACAAACTTCACATTGCCAAAGGTACTTGATACAAAATCTTCACTCTGCCTGTATCATGAATGCAGCCTGTCACATGAGGTCAAGTATGGAGTTTTCTACTTGTGGCATCACATCAGCATTCATAAAGTTTTGGATTTGGAAGCATTTTGGATTTCAGGTTTTCAGATTAGCAATGCTCAATCTGCACTCACTAGTGGGTAGAAAAGTAGAAGCCTGCAGTTTTGGGCAATCCTGCATGCAAACTAAGACTGCCAGTACATCCAGGTGAGCTCGTGGTGACCACCTGGTGCAGGCTAACAGGGGCACTGAGGATCTGCTCACTTGCCAGGCCCTTTCACAGGCCATGTGACCCACCAATTCCCTGTAGCAAAGCTCTCCACACTTGCAAAGCCTGAAGGAGTGTCTGCCTTCCTGACTGATTGACTGCACATCATGAGGGGGAAGGGGCAGTCTTGAATGTTTATCTTTCTAAAACAGGTTTTTAAACTCCATAGTTAAAAAAAAATGTTGAAAACATTTTTGCTAGATCACCAATATGGAAACAAGGTAGTTAAAATGTCTGTCTCATTATTCCCTCAAACATTCAAAATAAACCATATCCTCTTTCCTTTCCCCTAAAACTTCAAAATAAAGTCAATCTAATTTTATCCCTGGCCCATAAGCACAACCTAGTTTGTTGGAAAATCATAAGCACTAGCTTTTAAAGGTAAATCTATTCAACAAAGTTCCCTACAAATACTATCTAATGTAAAGTTGTATCTGTGATTTTTCTTATGGCTTTAATACCTAATTTGACTCTTATGTTTTTAGAAAGACATGAAAGTTGTACATGGTAGTGACTACTTGTGCAGAATGGAATACGGAGGCATTTCACTGCTTACATGATGCTCTTTTTAAAAACAATTTTAAAAGAAGAGTTTAAGGTCATTATATACAAATATGCAAGACTTCTGAATAAAGCAGGTCTCTTAAGAACACAACCATATATGTAACAATTTACTGATTAGGTCATGTGCTCATCAATGCAACAATTAAACAGACCACAGAACAAAAGATTAGAATTTCATGAAATAATCTTCATCAAAAGTTTACATTTTTCTCACATTATATAAAATATATAGCCACAAGCTTTGGCAGACTTAGATAAAAACACTAGCATGCAGAGGTATCCTCTCAGGAATTACCAACACGAGAATTCAGACACCTACCATAGTTGGCCACGGCCTTTCCACCTTTCCTTCTTATCTCTTCAACGACCTTATCGGCAGCCCTGGAGCTTTTGCCAATTCCCTTGAAGTCTCCTCCTAGATCGTTTACTGCAATGCAAAGACAAGCAAACCGCAATAAATTTCCAGGCCTTCCACACGTAAGTTAGAAAACAATTCTAATTCCCTCTTCAGTCATATGCCTGACTCCACCCACCCGACCATACCTTACTAAACACACCATATGCATTTTCAAAATATGCCTGATTTGAACTCAGGTATCAACAGCAGAAAAACTTGAACAGGCTCTTGTTATGAAGTTTGTAATTTTGCAATGATTTTCCTCTTTTGTAAAGAAAAAGGACATACTTCAACCCATCTTCTACCAAAAAAAAGAAAAAACAGAAAAGAAAAATTGTGAAAATCACCTAAAGAGTAAACAAACACAAAGGAAGACAATGCAGAGGTTTTGGGATCTCAAAATAAAAAGTCAACCTGAAGGTAGAATAGCGATTACTCGGGATAGGGAAGGTGGTAGGGAAGGAGGATGGAAGAACAGTGTCTGGACAAGATCCACGCACGTGTTATGAACTGGAAATACCACGGTGGAACCCATCCATTTGTGCAATGCATGTGCTAATTAGGAAAAAAGAAAAACAGAACTATCAATGATCCAGCAATTTTACTTCAGAATATTTATCCAAAAGAATTGAATTCAGAAGAAAAAGACAAAGAGGTTTTGGCTCTCCTGTGGTGACTGTAGAACTACTCACAGTAGTTGTGGTGCAGGAGCAACCTAAATACACACTGACGGGTGGGTGAATAAAGATGACACTATGCTAAAGGAAATAAGACAGTCACAAAGGACAAATGCTGTGTGACTCCAGTTACACAAGCTGCCTGAAAGAGTTGAATTCACAGAATCAGAGAATAGAGCATGGCTCCCAGGAACTGGGGAGAGGTTGGAGTTGGGGAGTTGGTAACTGAGGGCCATACAGATACCTGCTCAATAACACAGTGCCTATAGCTCTGCACCCTAAACTTGAAAATTAGTCTAGAGGACAGAGCTCACATTAAGTGTTTTCAACTATAATAGCATAAAAATAAAGATATTAAATACACAATGTGAAAGTACCTCCTCTGTATCAAGAAAACCTCTACTTACAGGAGTGGTGGGTAAAAAATAAGCATGGTTTTAACCTACTACAGAACACTTGTCAATTTTCATGTAACAGTGTGTGGTGGCCTAGAATGAAGGAATAAATGCTATTTGTTAAAAGAGGTCAAACATTACAGAGAACTAATATATATCCAGGCACTATTCATACCATGACTCCATTTCCAAACACCACATAAGACCCCCTACCTCCAATGATACAGTTATCCACATCAACTGCACACTGATTACACAAACCTGTCGAAAGTGCTTGCCCTCAAAGAGTCTCTAACTTGCACACTATGGTAGTGCGCAAGTTCTAGCATAAGGTAGACATCAAGCCAACATTGCCAAATAACAGGGACAAGCAAAGTTAATTTACACAAGGTAACTCAAGGCAAATTCTACAAAATAACATACAAAACTAATGGGAAATATACGGATCAATGTCAAATAAGGTGGAAAAAACATTTATTTTTAAATATATGTGTGACAAAGAATTTGGGATCCAGGTACCAATAGTTCACACCTGTAATCCTAGTTACTTGGGAAGCTAAGATCAGGAGGATCTCACATGGTTCAAGGCCAGCTGGACAAATAGTTCCCAAGACCATATCTCCAAAATAACCAGAGCAAAATGGACTGGAGGTGTGGCTCAAGCAGTAGAGCACCTGCTTTGCAAGCACAAAGCCCTAAGTTCAAACGTCAGTACCACCCAAAAAAGAAAATGTAGACTAAAGTATTTATTATATTACCAGTCTTACAAAAAATAAAAAATTCTGCAAAGACACAAATAATGAAAAGTGCTTACATTATCCCTGAAGAGATTAAAAACAGGTGATGATTCTCAAAAGACTTAATTATTATTAATCATACAATGCCATGCAATTATTCAAATGACAAGAAACAACCAGTTTATAAATATCACAATTTTTAACCTAGAAGGTAACACGCACGCACAGGAAATTAATGTGAGTCAACTCCCTGTATAGCTATCCTTATCTCAATCAGCAAAAACCCTTGTTCCTTCCTATTATTGCTTATACTCTCTCTACAACAAAATTAGAAATAAGGGCAAAATAGTTTCTGCTGGGTATTGAGGGGGTGGGGGGGAGGAGGCGGAGTGGGTGGTAAGGGAGGGGGTGGGGGCAGGGGGGAGAAATGACCCAAGCCTTGTATGCACATATGAATAATAAAACAATAAAAAATAAATAAATAAATATCACAATTTTAAGCCACACAGCTAGGAGTCTTTCATGACTCTTTTTAAGTAAGTTAAGTGAAGAAAGAGTAATACAATGAAACACAAACACTACCCTACAGGAGACTGTAAAATGCAACCAAACAGGCAAGCATGAAAGCCTGGATTTATTGACAAAAATGGCATGTGGGTAAACAAGTCTCAACATTAGAGAGCACTAGATTAAAACTGCCACCATAGCTGAACCACAGGGTGAAAGTTTAAACTAGAGAAGCAAGGGTTGCATGCTGAGGGGCCTGGCTAGCAACAATGTGGAAAAGATTTTTTGCAAGTAAAAATTATATTCAAGGGTAACATATACACACAATGTATGGCTCAAATTCAGCTGGTAGTACTGGCAGTAGTAGTCGTGCTGGTAGTAGTGGTAATGGTGGTAGGTGGTAGTGGTGGTGTGTGGTGGTGGCAGATGGTATTAGAGTGGCAGCAGGTGGCAGCAGTAGGAGGCAGCAGTGGTGAGTGGTGGTGGTGGGTGGTAGTGGTAGTAGGTGGTGGTAGTGTGGTGGTAATAATTCCAACAAGTTATATTAATACATGTACACTTCTCATTTTTAATGAACCATCACGCACATTATGCATTTAATTCCCATGCACCTTTTTAAGAGACTGGCAGAACAACTGTTCCTACTTTCACAGATGAAAAGCAGTTTGGAAACAGCCAAATATAGCCCAGGTTTGAACTACATGAAATGGCAAGATTTCTTCTAGAACCTAGACCTGCTACAGTACCACTTATTCCCTGAATGCTGGCAACAAGTTTCTCTATTCTCAAAGAACATAATCATGTCCATTCAGAAAAAAAAAAATTACATTTGTTTGGAGGAGGATATAGAAAAGAGATAAGCCAGCTCCTGCACTTGAAGTTTTAGGCCAGGCAGTAAGCATGGTAGGATTGTGGTAGTTAAGACAGAACCTTTTCAGCTGGGAACATCATAGCACCCAAAAGTGTAACACACCTGAGCGCTCTTCCAGCTCATAACTTGAAAGAATTTTTTTTAAACAAAATCTTCTCCCTACTTCAGTCATTTCAAATAAATCAGTGACTTGGATTATGTGTCAAAGACATCAGAAGTTTGGTTTCTTTTTTCCTAAAATTCCATCTCCAAAGTTTTATTCAGTAACAGCTATGTGGAAGAGGTAGGGATGCAGGGAATTCTAAAATGCACTTGGGTCCTATAACACACTTTTTTTGTTTTTTTTGGTGGTAAACTCGGGGCTTCACACTTTCTAGGCAGGTGCTCTACCACTTGAGCCACTCTGCCAGCCCTGTTTTTTGTGAAGAGTTTGTTCAAGATAGGGTCTTGAGAACTATCTGCCTAGGCTGGCTTCAAACTGCAATCCTCCTGATCTCTGCCTCCTGAGTAGCTAGGATTACAGGCGTGAGCCACTGGTGCCCCATCAGGTCATTGTTCTTAGAAGCTGGCTTTCTTCTTCTTTCTCTCTAGCTATTACCCACAAATTCTCTGACTACTAGCCCCAAAGACATATAAACAAATATGCTCTGGGGCTGGGTATGGTGGCTAATGCCTACAATCCCAGCTACTATGGAGGCAGAGCCAAGAGGATTTCAGTTGGAAGCCAGCCCAGGCAAAAGTTAGTGAAACTGTATCTCATAAATAAACCAAGTTGTGGTGGTGCAAACCCATGGTTCCAGGCCAGGCCCAGGAAAGTTAAGCCCAAGACCCCACCTAAAAAAACTAAAGGCAAAAGAACTGCAGGTGTGGTTCAAGCGGTACAGCACCTGCCTCATAAGTGTGAGGCTCTGCGTTCAATCCAAAGTACTGGATATATAGCATACTTTAGGTCTCCTGATTTCAGGGCCACTAAAGAGATTTACTTCACTTTCAATTTGCACCAAAGTGAGCAGCCTCTCTGTCTCTAGGCTCCTCATGTCCCCTCTCTCCTGGTAAGACTTCTCCTGGCACTCAATCTCCCCTCCTTCCCTTCTGAAAAGCACATGCCTAAGTCACTCAGTTTTGTCATCGAGTTCCTTGGCATTCTTCAAATGTCTCCATACAGATGCACTGGGACTCAGAGGTGAACAGTTGTGCACGAGGAGCTGCCCCTTCAGTCCTGACTCTGCCTCCACTCCTCCCACTTAGCCATTCCAGGACTCTCCAGCTGCCCACAGCTGTCACTGGGACAGTGCTCTATGGTAGCCCTGAGGGTCTTCAGTGCCTTGCTCACATCATCAGGGATTTCCTGGGAAGACCCTCAGAGTCTGGGCCCACTACAGCAGTTCTTCACAGCAGCCATTTCTAACTCTCCTACCTACCAAGAGTGGTAATATTATAAGGCTCTGCATCTGAAAAGGGATTTCTAATTTCCTACATACATTCATGTGCATGTAGACCTTCAACCTTGGATTTGTCACCAGGTCACATCCATTACCAAAGACACATCTAGAAACTATTTTTATTTCCAAAGTGAAATGGAACTTCCAATTCTATAAAACCAGGATAACTTACATGTGCAGCTACATGACAGCCTTTGTACTGAGCAGTCCTCCCATAAGCATGAGAAGAGAGTATTATATTACGCATGTCTTTATTTTTATAGGGATTTGCTTTCGATGCTTTTAAAGAAACTCAAGCAGTGTCAACTCAGGACCTTTTTAGCCCTGCTCTGCCGGCCTCTCATCCAGAGCCCACTGTTAACCACCTCTCGAACATCCTTCCACACACTCCTATCTTCTAGCCTGATGCCTTTTCTCTCATTTTCATAGTTTCCTATAGCCACCACAGATCACATCTCTCAACAGAGCTGCACTGGGATGAACTGTGGGGAGGATGCATCGCTTAAGCAGAACAGCCCCTTTAACCAATTTTTTTTTGTCTCACCCACAAGAAGGCATCAAAAGTTCTCAAAGGAGAAGAAAAATGAAGATGAGTCATCCAGATTTCAGTCCTGACCTCTTCTCCCAATTATCTTACTCACTATCTAGATAATCTGATCCAGTCTCCTGGCTTCAAATACCATCCACACACTGCAAATAATCAAATGTATCTATCTGTGGGCAACTCAGGAGCAACAGGTCCTGACATAAGTAAATGTTTCATTCTGGCTGCATCTGGATTGGACTCTCAAGGATGGAGAGTGGAAATGGAAAAGGGGATATAGACAGACAGACAGACACTCTCAACCACACCCAATCTCAGAGCCCCCACTGCCTACTTATTGTCTTTAACTGACAGTCTAATAGGAGTCTCCTCTCTACCAAGCTGAGGCTCCTTCCTCAGTCCTCCCTCTCTTAGGAAATGGACACTCCTTCACTTACAGCCCACATACAAACCACCAGCAAATCCCACCATATCTACCTTCAAATATCTCCAGAATTTAATCTTTCTGCACCATCTCCATCCTTATCACCCTGTCTAAGCTACTACCACCACTTACATGGATTTACAGTCCAATTTTCATTACCAGAACAAATTATCTGAGGTAGACTTAATAAGGAAGAGAGGTTTGTTTTGGCTCATGGTTCAGGAAGTGCAAGGTTGAGGCACAGCATCCTCTTTGTTGATTAAATTTCAACATGTGGCTTGGAGGACACCCAAGCCACATCAAGTGGACATCCCGAACCATGGCAGGCACTAACTACTACAATGGCTTCTCTGCTTCTACTTCTTTTTTATTTTAATAAAAAATTGCAAGTGTACACAAAAAGCATCAGTAAGATAGTAAACCCAGTGTGCCTGACCATCATCCTGCTCCCCTCCTGCTGTGATCCCTGACAACCTATCTTCTCCTGTCTGGCATGCAGGACACACTCATACCCCAGCCAGGTGGTGATGCTCCTCCACTCACACCTGTGAGACCTGACCTGCCCTCTCCCTTCAGTGGCCTCACTAAGCCCTCTACTAACCAGGGAACACCAAGCCTGTACCCACCTCAGGACCTCAGCACCAGCTGTTCCCTGTGCCAGACTGCAATCCTCCTACCTATTAACTCCAGGAGAGCAAGATTACAAGTGTGTACCAACCATACCCAGCTTGTTGGTTGAGATAGAATCTTTTGTCCCAACTGGCCTTGAACCATGACCTCCTGCCTCCACAGGAGCAGTGATTACAGGCATGTATCACCATGCAGGGCCCAAAAGCATGTCTTTAGGCACTGACATAAAATATTCCTGAGAAAACCTGACAAAGATAACCTGAAATATGCAGCCCTGTCAAATATTACAATGTCAAAGTTTTTGAAGGACATTGTAGCCAATGATTTGATCAGAGTAAAGATGCTAGTAAGTGTGGGTCCGAACATCTGCCCTCCATACACCCCTGCACTTAGCACTCGTTCCTTACTCCCACACAGGCTGCTTGTGAACATGGTGGCTCGTGTATGAGTATTTAATACTAAACCCTTCCACTTCTGGGATTCTTCAGTACAGTGTCTTCTAAATGACCCAACCCCAGCATGAAACTAACACTCATAGAATTGACCTCTAATTAAATGTTTTAAAAAGCTTCCAATTGAAAATTTTTGATGAAAAAGTTAACACATACTTTTGGGGTTTTTTTTTTGTTTTTTTTTTTTCATTTTTCTTTTATTATTCATATGTGCATACAAGGATTGGTTCATTTCTCCCCACTGCCCCCACCCCCTCCCTTACCACCCACTCCGCCCCCTCCCTCTCCCTCCACCCCCTCTATACCCAGCAGAAACTATTTTGCCCTTATTTCTAATTTTGTTGTAGAGAGAGTATAAGCTATAATAGGAAGGAACAAGGGTTTTTGCTGGTTGAGATAAGGATAGCTATACAGGGCTTCGACTCACATTGATTTCCTGTGCGTGGGTGTTACCTTCTAGGTTCTTTTTGATCTAACCTTTTCTCTAGTACCTGTTCCCCTTTTCCTATTGGCCTCAGTTGCTTTAAGGTATCTGCTTTAGTTTCTCTGCGTTAAGGGCAACAAATGCTAGCTAGTTTTTTAGGTGTCTTACCTATCCTCATCCCTCCCTTGTGTGCTCTCGCTTTTATCATGTGCTCATAGTCCAATCCCCTTGTTGTGTTTGCCCTTGATCTAATGTCCACATATGAGGGAGAACATACGATTTTTGGTGTTTTGAGCCAGGCTAACCTCACTCAGAATGATGTTCTCCAATTCCATCCATTTACCAGCGAATGATAACATTTCGTTCTTCTTCATGGCTGCATAAAATTCCATTGTGTATAGATACCACATTTTCTTAATCCATTCGTCAGTGCTGGGGCATCTTGGCTGTTTCCATAACTTGGCTATTGTGAATAGTGCCGCAATAAACATGGATGTAACACATACTTTTGTTTCCCTGACTCCAAACTTTCAATTCTCAAAATTCAATTATTTCTTATTTTTAATCAACATATTGCCAGGGATTCTCCTTTAATCTTGCATCAGTAAATAAATCTTCTATCTCAAAAAATTACAGCCCACCATACACTAAAGTCAAGAATGTCCTTTTATGCTTCATCAATTCTACTAAGTGAGAAATTCTATGAGACTTGACTTTAAAAAGTAAGTCACAAAGTCAACCTTAAAAAAATGTCAGCCTTGGCTCAATGGTAAAGTGTTTGCTTAGCATCTGCAAGGTCCTTGGTTCAGTCTCCAGTACTGGCAAAACATATATATATATATGTACCAGCCTTAAAAGGGTAAAAAAATTCAGTTAAAGTAAAAATTAATGATGAAATTAAATCTTGAGTTATTATTTGAGAGAAAAACAAAGGCAGCTTGTGCAGACTGTACTTTAATTTTTCAGCTTCTAATTGAAAAGAAAAATATACCAACTCACCAACAACCAATGCTCCTCTTTCTGCAAAAGCCAGGGCATAGGCTTGGCCCAATCCTAATGAAAAACAAAATCATCGGAAAGTTGAAATGTCAACACAATTACTTTAGCCCACTCAACTCAATCCCCATTTTAAAGAAGCAGGTGAGTGATCGATGACATTACAGGTAGACTGTACTCTCCACCTCTGCTCCACCTACTTCTTCTACCATTTCCTACCATGCTGTGAAGCTGCCAGAATGCCAGATGTGAACCGGATTGTGAAAGTGGGGCAGAGGCCATCTTTCTGTGAGTCTAGCTGTCTCTGTTAAGAGCCTGGTTTTCCAGAAGCTTTTAGGTATTAAAACAATGACTGTAGAGGTGACTTTGTGATTTAGCTTCTGTGCTCCAGGTCCCTGATGTCCTGTGACTACTCAGACTGTGACAGACCCCAGGGCTGCCTCTACCGTACCAGGTCCATGTTGCTGCAGGAGTTATCCCAAGTGCTGCATGAAACCCTTTCCTCCTTAAAACACCTGTGACTGCTGTATCCTACATGGAACCTTGAACATCAGTTATCAAACACACAAAAAATTTAATTCTGACTCAAAGCTATCTTGTGTAAATTCATATACATATATATATAAAACATATACTATTTATTCTTTATTATATACATGCTATAAACAAGAACATCTCAGGAAAAATACATAAGAGGCTGGCAATTAGCGATCATCTTTGGGGAACTGACCTTAGTGGCCACAGGAGGGGTGAAGACTTATTTTTGGATTGTTTACTTTTCTTAACAGTGGCCATTTTTTAATTTAACTTAATTAAATTTCAATGATAAATGGATAAAGTTAACTGTCAATTTATGTTTAGGATAAATTAATTGATAAATAAGTATAAAAATAAATTGAGGATAAATTACCAGGCTTTCTCAAAAAGAGCCCCAAATATTAAGTTCGGCAAAACAAGAAGACATCACCAAACAATTTAATTTACAACTGAATCAACTCTGAGTTGAATGAATGAATCCACCTCTGAACTCAACCAACTTATAAGCAGGAGGTACTGAGTTCAGAATAATTTAGAACTAACTAATGTTCACAATACCAATTTGGTGTGTTTCTATCAGCACTTATTAAATAAAACAGAATGTAGAGTACCATGCATTAGCATGTACTGTGTCACGGATTTGTTTCCAATAGGGTGTGTGTGTATGTACACCTGGTCTGTGTATACATATTGTATACATTATCAGTCACTGTCAAAACAAGTTTAAAACACCACGTGCATCATATTATGTCCATCAAAAGCAAAGAGGAAACAAAATGTTTCTCCAAAAAGATCATTTTCAAGTGACTATAATTATAGGTATAAAATACTTGGCCACCAATTATCACTGAAATCATTTTCTGAAAGGCAGCCTAAAGATTCATTTTATCAATGGTGATATGACAGTACAGATGAATTGACACAATTCCATTTTGTGACTTTTAATATACAACTCCAAGAAATCGTGCATGAGAATCCTTCTAGGATACATGAAATCCATATCACTGCACAGTAAAAATCCCCCTGCACAGGGTCTGTGGAGTGGTTTGTTTTAAAATTGGGCTTTAGTGGCTGGGGGGGGGGAGGGAGGGGTGGAGTGGGTGGTAAGGGAGGGGGTGGGGGCAGGGGGGAGAAATGACCCAAGCCTTGTATGCACATATGAATAATAAAACAAAAATAAATAAATAAATAAAATTGGACTTTAAAAATGAGGTTACTTGCAGAGCACTAGTGACTCACACCTGTAATCCTAGCTACTTAGGAGGATGAAATTGTGAAGATCACATTTTGAGGTCAGCCTGGGGAAATAGTTTCAAGACCCCCATCTCCAAAATAACCACAGAAAAATGGACTGAAGGTGTGGCTCAAGCGGTACAGCATCTGCTTTGTAGGTGAAAAGCCCTGAGTTCAAACCCCAGTCCCACAAAAAAAAAAAAATGGGATTACTTCACAGGACAATCCTCCATTTTTGTTTGTCCTGAAATACAGGCACCAGGAGCAACTTTCTATCCCACGGAGCTGGCCCACCTGGGAAGTGTCTACTCGCAGTCTGCTCCATGTCATCCCATTCCATTCCTGTCATCCACTTGCCCTGCGCACACTAGGCTCCAACCTTCCCGGGCCTTAGGTCAGGAGCTTGTGCAATGCACATTTGGTGCCATGGGGCAATGAACACTGGGCACTGCACAATGGGCGCCGAAAACTGGGGGGTGCACACGGGACGCTGCACACTGCGCAAGGAAGCTCTAGTCAAAGCCCCGGGGACTCGGAAACACCGAACCCAACACCGCCCGCTAGAGGTCCAGGCCCCAGGCGCCCAGGAACCTCGAGAGACCCAACAAGGCCGACTGCGGGCGGGTGAACTCTCAGTCAATTGTGCAATTCCCGCTGCCCGGGAAGGACGCGGCCTGGGAAGCGCCGGAACGGGGCCCGAGGCCGCACCTGCCAGCGCGACGCGACGTCTCCGGTTCCCTGAAGACGCCGCAGACGACCAGGACCGGGGCCGGGCACGACCGACCCTCCGGGCCCCGCCGGGTCCAGCCTCGCGCTGCCAAGCCGCCCCGCCACCTACGACCGCGGCACGACCCTGGGACCCAGGCCGCGGAGACACAGGCGCTCTCGGCCTCGCTCACCTCCGCCCGCGCCGGTGACCACCACCACACGCCCGTCGAACCGCAGCGGCGAAGCCATGAGTGCTGTCAGCAGCTACACACACCCTAGAGTTGCCAGGAGCTGACCGCACGACCCGACGCCGCGGGGGCGTGCCAGGGGCGGGACGCCAGAGGGGACCCGCTGACTGCAGGGACGCAAACGGCATCGCGTGCCAAGTGCGCCGGCGCTTGGAACTCTGGGAAATGTAATCCCGCGAGACTAAGTCTCGCGAAATCCTGCCGGGGAGGCCTGCACTGATCGCGCGCCCGGTGTTCGCCCGTTCCCCAAGCGTTTCTTCATTCACAACGCAAACGTTTTTGGATTTAGGATCTTGAGGAGAAAAGTAGTACGCCCCCCTATCCCTAAGGAGCTTTTGGATATAGCCTGTTAAAAACAAAGCTATCCTTTGCGATGTAAGTCTTTTGGAGATGTTATATTCCTGGATCTCCTGCACAAAAATCGTCCTGAATGTCATAATGCACTTTTCCCAAGTAGAACTAGGGGACCAAAAAAAAAAGTTAACTGGTGCTTCTAAATGAGATTTGCGTGTGAATTGAGAATAGTCATGCATTCGACATTTACTGGCTTTTATTGGTTAAAGTTTGTTTTGTTTTTTAATACGGTCCTGGGGTTTGAACTCAGAGCCTGGTACTTGCCAGGCAGGCCCTTTACTGCTTGAGCCACGCCCCCAGCCCTAGATAAGCTTCCTAACCCTGCAACCTGATAAGACCCGTGGCAAATGTGGCATAAGTATGGCAACTAATGGTGCCGAAATAAAAGAACTCTCTGGGGAGAAGAAGGAAAACTTTCCAAAGAAGGGAAGCAGAAGGGCCTCAAGATATTAGCCCCACCAAGAAAGGAGGGAAATACCAGAGCTACAGAATACCGGAACCCGGCAGAGCTTGCTGAAATGTTAGTTTCCTGCAGAAAACCATGCTAAGCGGTGCTAAGAGGGGAGTAGAATGCATTTATAGGATGTAAAGGTCGCTTTGACCTTCATGGAGGGTTGATTAGCAATGCGAAAGAACATAGAAAAGACTTAGGGAAGATTCAGGAGGCCAAAGATAAGAACAAATGTTGCAAATTAGAGATGAGGGCAAAATAATTTCTGCAGGGTATTGAGGGGGTGGGGGGGAGAGGGAGGGGGTGGAGTGAGTGGTAAGGAAGGGGGTGGGGGCAGGGGGGGAGAAATGACCCAAGCATTGTATGCACATATGAATAAAAAAAAAAAAAGAAATGTTGCAGTATATTTAGAAATGGAGCTGTTATGTCTTTGTCATTAATTGAATGTTGGATGGAGCGACTGAAATATCATTATTTCTGCCTGGGGACTCTAGTTATGGTGGGCCATTCATTAAAATAAATAGTGGGAAGACAGCAGCTTTTTGTGGAGAATATGGCTTCAATTTTAGGCAAACCGTGTTTGGGGAGAGGAAGTGAAGCTTATGGCTAGAGGTAGCTGTAGCTCTGAGCTCCCAGAGTCTGGCTTCTGTGCATCAGCAGAACAAGAAGTCTCTGCTCCCCAAACCTCAGTCTCCAAGCACTGGGTCCTACAGTTGGGGCTCCTCCCTGAACCAGCCCCGTGGGGCTTAGCCTTTGGCCCACAGCTACCTAATCACATTGGACCCTTGAGTTCTGGTGCTCTCTGAAACCCAGGGAGCCAAGGACAGAGGGCACTTGGTAATGTTGGAATTGATAACCCTCCAGTGCCAAAAACAGACACACAAGGGACAGAAAATCTCCACAGGGCAATTTCTCTTGATCAAGCAGGTGCAAGAATGTGCTTATTCCAGCTAAGCAAGCACACAGGCACAAAATGGCTGACAGTGGCTCCTCCTTATATCCCTGACACAGTTGGGATTTGTCCAGGTCAAAGGTTCACAATCTTTCCAGTTGGCTAAAAGGCTTGGGGGATGGGTTAGGGCACGCAGTTTGGCGGGCAATGTGTTGGAAATGTGGGCCCCAAAATGACTACGTGGAGAGGAGTGATCTGGCCAAGAGATTCTTTATTGCCGGGTGGGAGAGGGAGAGAGCCAAGAGAGCCAAGAAAGAGAAGCAGAAAGGGCAGGGGCTTAAATACCCCTCAGTGGGACTCAGCATGATCTGATTGGGTAAGAACTGAAACCTATCAGCGCCATTATTGCTAACACAATGGAGTTATACAGGAATCTGGAAGAAGAAGCAAGGACCCTTTAACCATGCAAGTCACCTAAGATGGCGATCTGAGGAATTTTAAGTAATCTAAGAGGGTAACAAATACTTTGATAGAGAAGATCATTTTTCTTACAGTAAGAAAGAGGGTTTAGGATGTAGGTAAGGGTAGAGGGCTTGCCCAATACACCCCAAGCCCTGGGCTCAATGCAGAGTACCCTGGTGGTGGGAGAGTAGGTCCTGAGAGCACAAGTAGATTTCCCAAACACACCAGTTTCAATTGGCGTGACCATGACATTCTCTGCACTTTAATCCTTCGCTTTAAAAAAAAAAAAACCGACATTAGTTAATCAGTTGTTTTCTTAGTGCCCAACTCCCTGTCCCTGCCTTGCAAGGAGAGTAGATTTGAAATGACTAATTTCAAAGAAAAAAGAAGAAAGCAGGTTTTTTCCTGCTTTCTTCAAGCCTTCTGTCTTTGCTGGAATGTCAGAACACTTCTGTTTTATGGACTGAAGTGTTGTCCCGCTCTAGAATGGAAAAGAAAGCCAATTAAGATGGTCAAGAAGGAGGTACAGGGCGGGAATGTAGCTCAGAGTTAGAGTGCTTGTCTAGTTAGCATGCTCCAAGCCCTGGTTTCATTCCCAGCATCCCCAAAGAAACGGCTTAAAAAGGAGGTGCAGCATGTGGAAGACAGACCCTGTCTGTCTGTCTGCTGTGTTTAAGCAGCTCCAAAACAATGGGGCCCAGCACAAAGCCTGGCGGTTGGAGCCCACTCTGTCCAGGCCCTCTACTCACACCCACCACCCACCACTCCTACCCTCCACAAACCTGGCCAGCAGCTGTCTTGGATTTAGAACAAGGAAGAACCACAAAGAATGCCCAGGGCCCACGCAGTCCATGGCACATTTGAATGCAGCCTTAAATTGGATGTATGGGCCAGGCTCCATGGCTTATACCTGTAATCACAGCTACTAGGGAGGCAGAGATGCGGTTCAGGGCCAGCCAGGCAAAAAGTTAGCATAGACCCCCCCACACACACACATACTACACACACATCTCAACTCAAAAACCAGGTGTGGTGATGCATGTCTATCATCCCCACTACTGGGGAGGTTGAGACAAGAGGATTACAAGTTCAAAGCCAGCCCAAACAAAGTTAGTGAGACCCTATCTCAAAAACAAAATATAAGCAAAAGAGCTGGGGGCGTGACTCAAGTGGTTACAGTACTTGTGCAAGGTTCTGGGTTCAATCCCCATACCACAAGCAACTTGTTTTTTTGGGGGTGGGGTAAATGCCTTTTGGGGTTTCTCCATCCTCTCTCTTCTCCCAGCATAAATGTCACCTTATCATAGAGGAAAGGTTTGGCAGGATAAGAATGTTCTTTAAGATCAAGCTGGCCTCTTTCCAGTTACTGATAAAATCTGCAGATGTAACTTGTGGTTTATTCCCTCCATGTACTTGAGAGGTCTCAGGGATCTTCAACCCCCCGGTACTTGGCCCCAGCTCAAATGTAGATAGCCTCTAGAGCACATTTACATCAGGAAGTGGGCTTAGGCAATCTTTCATTTATTAATTTTTGGTGGGACTGGGGTTTGAACTCAGTTTCACAGTTGCAAAGCAGGCACTCTACTGCTTGAGCCATGCCTCCAGTCCATTTTTGCTCTGGTTATTTTGGAGTTGGGGGCATCTCGTGAATATTCCTCATGGCTGACCTTGAACCGAAATCCTCCTGGTCTCAGCCTTCCAAGTGGCTAGAGTTATAGGTGTGAGCCACCGGCACCTGGCAGGATTTAGGAACTCTTAGAATCTGCTGTGCCTACGTCTTACTCTCTGCACTATTTTAGCAACTTCTATGTGAGTCAAATTACCCAAATAAAAATTTGTTAAATTAAAATTTTAATTTAATCCGAAGTGTGTTTGTCTGTGCTCCAATTGTACAGATGTTACTCTAAGAGGTCACTCTTATGAAAGATGCTAGCTAGTGGCTTCATCTTAATACTATGGAATCATGAAGGGACACTGCAGTGAGATCACATTGTTTCTCTCTTGCTGCCCATTTGCAAACAGCTTCCTTTTTTTGGAGAATCTCTACTGTTTCCTACTTCAAAGGCGGAAAACACCAGCTATTCATCTCCCCAGCTCCACTTGCAGCCAGGTATAGCTCATAACCTCAGTTTGCCCATCAGATACCTCACGAGACACTATGGTGTGAATGACAAACTCTCCAGCAGTCATGGCATTAGTTCTAGCAAGGGTGGGTAAAATGCAATGGTGGTGTCTCACAGGTGAAGTGGCAGCATCCAGCACCCCGCTGCAGGGTAATGCTCTCCTTGTCAGACCAGTTTTGCAGATTGATTGGGGCAGAGCTGCAGCTGCACAGCCTCAGGTGCTCTCTCTCTCTCTCTCTCTCTCTCTCTCTCTCCTCTGGCTTCCCTGGAGACTCCATCAGCTACCCTGAGTCCATTTAATAACCCACCCCTCCTTAAATCAGCCATAGCCAGCTTTTCTAACTTGTAAATAAGAATCCTGAGTGACACAGTTATCTCCAAAGTCTTATCCCTGTCAAACTGGTCAGGTTGAAACCACAGTTTTGGTAATGAATTTAAACAGATGCTGTACCCTACCCTCCCTGCTCTTCCCAGGGACTCAGTGGCCCACCAACAGCCAAGGATACCTTGTCCTATCAAAAGGATTCATCTGGGCACTAGGGAACCGTGATTAATTGTCCACATCAAAAATAATAAATTAACCACGGTTTCTGATAGACTACATTTGAGACCGTAGAAAATACATACTAATAGTTAACATAAAACA